GTACTGTGGTAGGCACCCAAGGATACCATGGAAAAACACTTCCCTCTACCCACCAGGAGTGATTTTTTTTTTCATACCTGCAAAGTTCCTAGAATCAAGAGCATATATACTATCTTCATTTGCTGCCATACATCCCTTCTTAATGATATAAAACCGTATCCTACTTTTTAGTTTATCTGTTACTCCACACAACCATCATCGCCCACGATAACTGACTCTCTCCCCGAATACCAACCAAAGTCATGTTTTCAGTCATTCAGCCACACTGTTCCTTCATCGATCTCCATCCCTTCTACATCTGATGCCTTCCTCAGCCCATCCTTCTATCTCTTCAGCCTTTCCCTCTCCCCCCGACCATCTACTTCGGAATTATCCTCTCTATCATGCTTCAGTTCCCATTTCTTAGTATTATAGCAAATCCTGGTCAGCCTGTCCAACACTCCATTCATCTCAACATCTACTAATATCTGTATTAAGGTACCTATTCTTTGCATCCTTTTCACCCAAACTGCAATCAAATACAGTACATTTCCATTGACTCCACCGTAATTCCTTGTGTGGTTCAGTTTTATCAATCAAAATTAAGTTGAATTTGAATGTGTTGCATTATTACTCACCAGAGTCAACTTTTAACAGTGTTAACTGCTTTTATTGTATGGGAAAAAGATGTTAAAGCTCTCAAGGCACACTTGTCGATGTTCAATACTGCACTGTTCCAGTTTTTGTCTCATGTACAGATGAAGAGTGACATACTGTACATTCGTGTAGATGAAGAGTAACATGCATTCGTGTTGATGAAGCAACATACAATCGTGTACCGTTGAAGAGACTGACATACATTCGTGTTCCGTTGATGTGACTTACAACCGTGTACCGTTGAAGTGACTTACATACATTCGTGTACCGTTGAAGTGACTTACATACATTTGTGTACCGTTGAAGTGACTTACATACATTCGTGTACCGTTGAAGTGACTTACATACATTCGTGTACAGATGAAGAGTGAAGTGTATTCCTTAGCTACAGATTAACACAGTACTGCAGCACATCATATGACTCAGCAAAATTCAACTGAAGGGAAAGTTATTCACAGATCAAAGGAAAGTTTACAGGTAACAAAACCAACTGACCCATAACAAAATATCCTCCCCCCTCCCTCCCATGTATATAAAACAGGCTTAATGCCAAATAATGATTATTAGTCACATTTTACTTGCCAAAATTCTATGACATTTGTTGTGCATAACTGAAATTGGCATGTATCGTAACATTACCCAGTTCTATATGTAATTCACAACTTCATGAAAGTCAAGTCAATACACCTGAACAATGCACTTTTCCAAATACAGTTTATCAATTTACATATAACACATCTGACAGTTAAAGTTGTAGCAAATAATTGTCTTTGTTTACAAGGATTCAGACTAGGTAACTACATCACAACAAGTAAACTCCTTTTTTATTGTCACTATAATTGTGTACAAGACATGAAAAATTGGTTTCAAGTTTCTTTATAAAATGTACTGTAAGTTTATTCATATTTACCCCTGTGTATACAGAACAGAATTATGTATAAATGTTATATATCCCCAATGTGAATAATATATTAATATATACTGTACTGTATATTTTGTGTGTGTGTGTGATAAAACTTCTTTACACATTGATGCTTCTCGTCCTCAGGGAGAAGACAACTGCACGCTATACAATATACTGCATAGTACAGTATCATCAACGCAATACACGATTCCACTTTATTTCACATCTAACCACTTAATAAAGACAGTGCTACTTAAACAACTGTTACAGATCCTAGTGATACACCAAAAAAATACTCATTCTTCATATCCAATATCTAGCACTTGCTCATATCATCAATAAGGTATAATAAAGCATATCCAGTGATATATCAACAATAATGTCAAAATATGCTGGAATATAAAAAATCTTTCCAATAAAACCCTAATCAACAGTACTAATGTATATAAGTTTCTTCGTGTCTGTATAACATTTCAACACAACATATTTTTTAACTGAATGCAGCTCCTTACAAAATACTGCCAATTTACTTATTTTTTCACACTATACGACCATCCTCAAACCAGAAGATGCACACACGTCACTGGTAATGTACCAATTTGGTATATCCTTTTCAGCCTAACCACAATATTGTTGTAGCAGTCTATACTACAAGCTGGGCCCTTGTCTAGTCAGATGAGGAAGCCATTACCTCCACATGTAATTACAGTACAACAACATTTCCTAATAAATACAATATCACTTATTCTGCTGCGGCAACCAATGATATTAAAGAGAAAATATACCAAGGCCAGACTTTACTTGAAATCATCTATTGAAAATTATCCGAGCCTCTAAAATACTTCCTGCAGGATAAGAACAGCAGTCACATACTATTTTCACCTTTATGAATCCCGTAAGACTTCACATTCATAGACTAAAATAATGGAACTCGATTTTATCACAATTCTTTTAACTAATTATATGTTAATTTTACCAGTTTCTTACTGTGAATACTGTACAGTACATTAAATTGAACTCCAATGAACCAAGCCAACAGGAACTCTCTCACAGTCTCAATATCCAGTCTTGAGGACACATTTTTTCTTATACAGTATACAAGAAATGCTCCCACAAACAAGAATACTGACACTAATGAAGATTCATTCGCTGATTTAGGTTAGTTTCACTTTTTTAAAACTTATGGCCAGTTTATGACAAAATAGAAATTGGCTGATGGCAGAAACTAACCTAACTAATTCAACCTTTTGTAAATTGAAGTGTAATGCTAATAATTTTGGGGGTTCTCAGAAAATGCTAGGTAGCGAAGTGCTTTGGCTAGAGTTATAAGATATAAATTTTAAATCTTCTAGGAAATAAAACATCATACCTCCAGAAGTATGCTTAGTTATTTTTTACAGTTTACATAATTATGTGGGTAATAAGGCAAAATTTATAAAACAATAAATGTAAAAAAAATCAGGGTTTGTTACTTAAAAACATAATTTTGTCATCTGCACAAGGTGGTTCTGTACTAGGCTTTAGACCTAATTGGTGGGGACATGACAACTTTTTTGTGCCCCTGTAGAAGTGAGAAGAATATGTTTACTTTAAAATATTTCTAACCATGTCTGTATCCAGAGCAATAATGCCTAACTGCTGGTAGTCAAAATTACTGCCAGGACTGTCCAGAATGTTTCAGCAATTGATCTATTCCAAAGGTACAGTTTAATTGAGATTTGCAGGAAATTCTGATTTGATAACCAGGCTTCAGTCAAAATGAATCTGATAAAGTGAAGTCTTACTGTAAACAGGAAAACTGATGTGATAATTAGGCTCAAGTTTCTAAACATATTGCTGCAATTTACTCGACACCAAGTATACACGACTGAAAAATAAAGGATAACAATAAACTTCTCTCAATGAAAGTCTGGCCTTGACAGCATAAATAAATAAGATATACTATAAATGGCAAGCCATACAATGAGAAGAGGAGCCATCCTGGAAGAATTAACTCTTACCTGTTAAAACTGTTATATTTAATTTTATCCGAATGAATGCAATTCCGATATATTCTAAAAAACATTAGTGCAATGAGATCTCATGAATATATTCCTGCATTGGAAATGTACTGGACAATGTCTTGTCAAACTATATATAATTCAAGTTGGCAAAATCAATAAAATAATCATATTTCGCCAAAATGTTTGGAGGGGCCTTTTAAAATTTAGTTTGCAATTTGGAACTGTGTCTATGAGAAAGTTTATGTTAATGCAAATAGTAGCACGATAGTCCTGTGTGACAAGTCAAATATATGAAATACTGTTGAATTACACTTAGGCAATGCTCTTAGTATGGACGGTGAGAAGAACCCTTCCGAGTCCTTCCATCTCCGAGTCTCCCTGTACAGAAAGGATTCTCCACGAACAGTTGACAACATGCCCAAAATACATGTTAAAGGGCACAACACTAAAACATGTTCCTGTCTTCTCAAAATCAAGTTTGATCTACAATTCACAGAAAGATGTAGACCCAAAAATATGGTGTCAAAGAAAACACAGGAAAAAGAGAGGAAAAGGCCACCATCACTTACCGTATATAAAACTTGACTTGTACAGTACTGTATATGGAATACATAAAACATATAAAAATGACAGATGGAAGAATGGAAAGATGGCCAGACAGACAACAAATATCATAACTAATCTTTGGCCACAATTTCTTCTCACTTGTACATTGTTCCAAATTGCAAACTCAAAATTCAACATTTGCCTCTACTTTTCCAACAAATTACTTGTGTGCTTCTGTTATAGTTTTGAACACAGGTGTGGAGGTGGTCAGGAAGCAGAATGTTTGGCCAATCATTACACAATGCCAACCTACTGTGAATATGAGGGTGGTGGGACATGAAAACCCCCTATGGCACTTACTGTGAATGAGGGAGTGAGTATATCACCCTTTTCACCCTAATGGGATGCTTTCTACCCTGTAGCATATGATAGCCGTGGAAAAGTACTTGGGGGGAGGCTCTTCAGTTCCCTGTAATTCTGTAATTTTCAATTGTGGGGGGCAGGGGGTAAAAAGATAAACTGCCATGTACGACTGATGTTATAACTAGCTTCTTTGCATATAATTCGTAATTGACTTTGATGTAAATACAGTATATCGTATAATAATTTTTAGAGTTTCTAAGTCATATGTATCCCATCTTGGTGAATGAAACCAAAATGCTTATAAAGAGGACAATAATAAATAAAAAAAAGTTGCAATAAATCTATCTGCTCTAAGTAATCACACTGTACTTGAGGGTGACTGTACCCAAGGTGATGCCAGTCTAGCAGCAAGACATTCCCGTCGATGACCATCCACAACATTCTCTCTCATAAGATCATGTCAATTACCAGAAAATTTCCAGTTTAGGAATATTCCTTGTTCCAGTGATGGCTGACCTCTTCAGAAACATAAAGACAATAACACTCACCAGCTGGTGTGCCTGAGGCTGCGTCCCAGGTGGTCCTTGAGGGGGTGGATGAACATCTTGTTGGCTACCGTCCCCCCCACTGTATCCCTCTAATCCTGAGAACCCAGCAGGCATCTCACACCCACTTAACCACTGTCAAGTAAAACAAAAAAATAAAAAAATTAGGATATTAGTGATCCACAATAAGTTCAACACTGACTAAATAGAAGTAATTATGATGCCATCCAGTTAACCATTGTCATTGTTCAAGTTACACCCACTTAATCACCCTGTAAAGATTTAACTCGTGTATAATAGTGAATTCCAATTAGTATTTCTATAATGCATGTGACAATGTTAAACACCTTAAGTGTTATAAAGTGAAAAATGAATGTTGCACCTGAATAACTTATCAAACATGTGAACTGTATTAAGAGGTGTAACATCTTTATGGATATTTAATATACTCATAGATGGGTCAATGTTTTATATAGTATTATCAACAGGATCTACACATAAACGTGGGTTGAGTTACTGTGACACAATGTGGTGACAACTGTCTGCTGTAACATACTCCTACTCAGCCAAATGAGCCAGATGCTGTGTATGGTAAAAGTGCAAAGGCTTTTTGATGAGTTAAACATGAGGAGAATGTTGACTTTAAATGCAAGTGTTAACAAAGTTTTAAATTTTAAGGCAAAGAAAGTAATATAAGTACAGTACAGTTGTTTAAATTAGTTTGAAACATACATTATTGAAAGATAAAAAAAAATTACACTTGGAAACTATAATCCGTATACTGAGAATAGTAAACTAAGTAAAGCATGTGTGATGGTTTGGAGGTACAGTACAGTACCATGAATAAGGAAACGATTCAAAATGTGTGATTGAATGATTGTGTAAATGTATGTATGAGTAAACATTTGTATGTGCAGTTCTAAATAATAATGGCCCTATATAATAAATAAATAAATAAATAAATAAATAAATAAATAAATAAATATATATATATATATATATATATATATATATATATATATATATATATATATATATATATATATATATATATATATATATGGATAGGTGAACAAGGTTGTGTAAATAAAATGACATACTACATTTTGGTAACTCATAGTTTAAATACAGTATATAAAATTTACACACTTTGGTGAAAGAAAAAATGTCACATACCCCTTGCATCCCTGAGGGTCCCGCTAAGGCTTCCACAACAGCCTCTGGAAGTTGTGATTGCCCTTGTGATGGATTAACCTTCTGCTCAAATTTGTTCGGCAGCATGTGACTCGCGGGATCATCTTCACCTCCTCCTGAACCGTCTAATCTCGAGTCGCTTCCCATAGACCCGTAATCCATCCCTGAGTCTATAACATCATCTTGGTTGTTGTCCACGTGGTCAACCATCTCCTCCTTGACTAGAGTTTCATCCACCATAACCTTAAAAAAAAAAAAAAAAAATTATTATTATTAGAACATTTCTTTAAATTCTAGCAAGCTAAGACAGCCCATAGCTGTTCATAAAGGCATGAGATGATTACAACTTAGAAATGATTTCACAAACCTCAACTTGTGGAGGAGTTGGTGAGGAGCGAGTCGTGGATGTCTGATCAGCTTGTCTGTCATCCAGTATGTGTTCTGTGCTCTGCTCCTCTCTTTCTGACGATCTTTGATCCATCCATCTTGTGTCTGATTGTGTTCTTGGGACTGTGTGCTGTGTCTCGTGTTCATTACTGAAGGGAGAAACTCTAGGGGAGGTGGGAGGTGTAGCCGAGGTCTGTGCTGTTCCTTGTAGAGAGGCACTACTCTCTTCTCTTCTTCTCCGTTTTGGATGTGGACTACTTCTGTCATCGGAGACATTACGCGACTGAGTCGGCCTTTTACTACTCGTTTCCGCTATAGGAGGCTCATCGGGAACTGCTAGGCCTTTTATTCTCAACACTTCTGCCGCTTTAATCAATCGTGCTAGGTCATTCTGCGCTACACTGACAGCACCTTCATACATGTAGCTTAAGAGTGCCTCTAGTTCATCAGTTTGTACATCTTTCAATACAATAACTGGGTGTTTACAAGGGGTATTTTCAAAGATCTTTTCAAAGTATTCACTACACGTTGATAAGACCAATTTGTGTACTGGGTAGAACTTTCCTTCACACGCTACAGTCACATCTGTGTATCTCTCCTAAAAACGGGAAGAAATTAACATATCTCAGTATGACAAAATAACTACTTTCCTCTTACATCACAATTCATACCCCCTCCCCCCTCCCCCACCAAATAGAGTGTTAAAAACCTACATTTGCAAAAGTCACACCTAATTAGACAAAATATACATGAATCTGAAACTGATCTTCCAAGATAAAGCTAAACTATACCAACAAATTTTAGTGCTTTACCAAAGACTTAAGTTAAATCAATTAACTGCCAATACCCACTTAAAAGCATGAGTTTCATACAATTAAAAAAACTATTTATTCTTCTATACTATAATTTAATTGGGTGAAAAATAATAGCATTTCCTAACAAAGTCAAACACTTCCCAACAACAACTTTTGATAACCAGCCTCACACTATATATATACTGTACTGTGTATGTCTCATCTTGGCCTTTTCAATGACCTGTATATATAAATAAAATTAGAGTATCTTGAGATGAAACCTGACTGATACTTTCCCATGAATATAAAAAAATCTCTAAATATTCCATGTGAGCTTTTACCAATCTGCTGGAAATGCCGTCACAGCCTTCAAGGGGGTTCACCGCCATTTTACGGCCACTTTCTATGCCAGGTTTACCCGATGGCAGCTGTCCATGCTGCATGGTCTCTTAAAACCTCTCTCTTCAGGTGTCTGATCTCTGAGGTCGAAGCTCATATTGAATATTTTGAAACTTATTGTGTTGTTTCAAAGGTTCGCAGGAAAGTACAATGTTTAAACTCTCTTACTGTTTCATAGAATGATTATTAAATTATATTATAACTACTGACCTTTTCCCTGAGTGTTGAGAGGATGTGACAAAACGTGGCTCTGTGATTGTTCCACGATAATGATAACATTCCATCTCCCATCTTGGTATATTTTTAGAATCTGTAAAAAATAAATAAATACAATTTGTTAGATTAAATTATTTCCATAATATCTGAAATTTAATATTTCCATACAGTTTGTTGCAAAGTTAACAGAAAGTGGCTAGTCATGTTTTCTCTAGCTCAAGGTTAGAATTCTCAAGTCTTTCAATTCTTGACCATAACAAGAGACAACTTGACGAGATCTGGTCGTGGTCCCAATAACCACTATATCCATACTGTGTGCACCAGGAAATTACTACTAAGATCTATATGATTAACCTTGGCCTAAAATCAAATACAGTAACGAGTTCAAGTTATGCGATACCATAATCACATTGTTATCTATCTGAAAACGAAACATAAAAACCAATGATGAAAAACCTGGAAATAAAGCTATACAGGTAGTGGGGGCCAGCCTTCTTGACAAACTTAAATACTCTATCCTCGGGGAATAAAACATTTATTCTGAGAACAGCGGACAGGTGGAACCCAGAATCTGCCATCTATTAAGTCCCCCATACTATGATAATTTATTTCCAATCACCAGTAATGTAATACATAGTGGGGGTTTGACTAATTACCCAAATGTACCCAAATATAGCCGGAATGAAGTCAAATAATGGTCCTAGATGAATAAATCGGACTGCCAATCACTTCTCGACTCGTATTTGGTGTCAGAAAGTCACAATAAAATGGAAAACTTACTTTAATCTGAGTTAATAGATCGTGTGCATGTACCAACGGAGCGAGGAATTACCCAAATGTAGTCGCAATGAAGTCAAATAATGGTCCTAGATGAATAAATCGGACTGCCAATCACTTCTCGACTCGTATTTGGTGTCACAAAGTCACAAAAAGTTGGTAAACTTAATTTAATCTGAGTTAATAGAGCAAGTGCATGTACCTAACCTAACCCAACACAACTCAGATTAAATTAAGTTTACCAATTTTTTTTTACTTTGACACCAAATAATAACCGAGAAGTGATTCACAGCCCGAATTACGCTTGTACGACCATCATTTGAATTCATTGCGGCTACATTTGGGTAATTCCTCGCTCCGTTGGTACATGCACGCGATCTATTAACTAAGATTAAAGTAAGTTTTCCAATTTTTTGTGACTTTCTGACACCAAATACTAGTCGAGAAGTGATTAGCAGTCCGATTTATTCATGTAGGACCATTATTTGACTTCATTCCGGCTATATTTGGCTACATTTGGGTAATTAGTCGGACCGCATAGTGGTATACTGTACAGTACTTATTGCTTCATGCATGATTTCCAAATATGTCTAAAAAAACCCAAACTTTTGTAACCCATTTTTATCACAAGATACTTCTACATAGTGTGAAAACTGTATGTACATAACATAATATAATTGTATGAGAATTTAGTATTAATACGAAACCAAGAGGAATAGGAGTGTCCTGTTGGTTATACCTATAACAGAGTGAGTCAGAGTGGACACAAGCCATGATTAATATTATCATACTATCGACTTGTGAGTCTGAAGGCATGGTGAACCTGAACATTAATAATGAATTTGAGCACGTGTGTCCCATGACGGGGGAGACGCGGGAACAGACAGTAAGGGCGAGCAAGACTCTGTCATGGTGGACGCGCGCTCTCCCTTCATCAAGTTCTTTGTAATGGCGGCATGTGAGTCTGACACAATGGTGAACCTGATCATTTAAAATAAAGGCTAGCATGAGTGTCCTCGTGCAAAAAAGACGCGATAATTAAGTATGTACAACAAGAGAAAGAAAATGTGGAAATAAGGTGAGGAAGGCCCCGTGTCATGGAGGACGCTGAGGGCTGGCGTGGGGAAGACACCCAGGCCGCGCTCTGGTAACAACCCGCCCTTATTCTTTGTCATTTACCCTCCCAGCCTCAACATTAAACAAACTGCAAATATCTTGAGAACCACCACACAATAAGTAGGAATGCATCTCTACTCTGACCTATGAGAAGGAAACTCGATAGCACTGATAAACGAGCGAACAAACAATTTAAATGGAAAAAGACAAGGGTAACTCCTTGAACATGACGCTTTTTCCGTCATGTTCCTCCTACCTCCGTTAAAACGAGGATCAACGGTACCAGTTACACCACAACAGCTTCTTCACAATATAAACCAACCATAAATTACGTAAATTAAGATGGTATTTACCTAAAATGCAGGTATAAATGATGGTTAGGCGCCACGTAGGTCCGGTGAGCGGGGACGGCGGCGCTGTGTTGTGATGCGCGGCGCAGGGCTGCCACACACCCCCACCACCGCCTGCCTCTTCTGATCCCTATTTTAATTACTTCTATAATTAAACCACTATCTCCACGAATACCTTATTATAAACAATCAGTATGTACTATATCTAATTTAAATTATTTGACTCATAGAATACGTCCTTAACAGAAAGAAACATCAGTTAATTAGCAAAAATAAAATATTCATTGGTGTTGTTTCCGTGCATGATAGCTTATGAATTAATGGCTGTATGTGTACTAGATCAATGTCCTATGTAACCTCATATGACAGCAAATTAGAATAAAACTGTCATTCATATTCATCGAAATTTATGAGTAACAGAACTCTACTTACAATATTCACTTAACGGTCGTGGCTTACATAAAATATTATTCTAGAGCTCTGTTATTTACTCTCTTGCTTTGTTATATTTTTTCTCAAACTTATTAACTGCCACATAAGGATTTTTTTTATCACAAGAGGATGTAACGTACACGATGATATCATCATTGACTTTCCTTTATGGCTCCCATCCTGTACGAATGCGAATAACCTATATGATATAAATGCTAAAAATAACATAACAAAATTTCCCTTTAACAAGATGGCGATTTCTCCAAAAAATGTATAAATACCCCATAGTTGGCAACAATGACTGCGCGGCCCGCCACTTGCCGGCTGTTGCCACTTTTCCGTTGATGTGCCACACGTTGACGTCACAGTGTTAACTATAATTACTGTTGTTTGTTTGAAGTATATCATATCCTTATGTAGATTCTTCAGAAATATATATATCAGTACACGTGGCTGAGGGAGCAGACACTCATAGGGTGGATATAAGAGTAACGAAATTCATTGTTGGTATGCATGCGTTCTGGTGCGCATGCTTGTTCTACAAAGTATTGTTTTTTCACGAAGACTATGTATAAAAGGAAAACTATTAAATAAAAATGCAAGTGGTAGAAAGTGCAATCGCTATTTAGCTTTGTGAGTGTAAACGCAGAGTAATTGAGTATTGTGCTAAATGTAGCGAGTTTGATACAGGCCAGCCAAGTGTGGTGAAATGATTGATACAGACATAATATATGCCTCCCTCCTTCTTGGTACACACACACGCATACAGTGTTAACTTTACCATCTTTATTACCAGTACAGCCAAAACAACACACGAATCAAGATTAATAATAGGTTAATACTCTGAAATTCATGGCGTTTACAAGTACTGTATTGTATAATATAATTTACAACCAAATGAGACAGAAATTTATGCCAGTAATCAGTAATAGCCGCATCCCTGACCTCTTAGCTCTTTATTTTGTGTGAGGTTAATGTGTCATGTGACGTTAATGTATTTTGTGAAGTTAATTACACTAATAATAATAGTTAAAAGACGTTGGTTCCTCACGACTCAGGATTTAAAACAAAACATACCAACTCAGCAGAAGCAATTTAACATTATTAACTATTTAAGGTGTTCTTGTTGAAGAATTTTTAGACGCGTGAGAAAGTAAGCTATATTATCGTACAAACCATATTCTATTATTAAATATTTGACTACATACATTATTAAACTTCTTACTTGGAGTTCGCATCGAACCTTGGAATTTAAGTTTTCATGTGACTGTGTTCTTTTATGATTATAATTTTTGTAAATATTACTTGGGTTATTACTATTATTATTATTATTATTATTACAGGTATTATTATTATTATTATTATGGGTGAGTTACTCCAAGAGATAGATGAGAGATCACAGAAAACCACCAAGAGCACCGAGAATTCCAAGGGGAGACCTATCTATTATCTCCCTGCACCCCGCCACGGCTATAGTGACGTGAATTATTTTTTTTTACTGGCATTAGACCACCCGGGTACAGGTCAATAGCCCACATTAGGGCCTTTGGCGTGAAAATATAATTACAATAATAATAATAATAATAATAATAATAATAATAATAATAATAATAATAATAATAATAATGACTATTATTATAAGTAATAAAAATTAATAAAGCAATAAAAATAAAAATAAAATAATAAAAATAATAATAACCATAAACAAATACAAAAACGAAAAAATAAATCAAGAGTGAGAAACGATATACATTATGTACAGGTATGTTGTGTTGTCAAATCAAGAGAGACACTTGAGACCCTGCAATTGTGTGTAAATGAAGCAGAAAGTTAGATCAGCAACCTGGGACTTGGATTGGGATTACCTGAAGAATATCCACCCCAGTTTATTTCAGCTAAATATTAACAGCCTTAACATTATTTGACGGGATGAGGTTAGATTAGGATAGGGTAGGTTAAATTAACGTTAGGTTGGTTAATCTTTAGGTGATATAAACTAGGGCGGAGATTCTTCAGGTAATCCAAAGCAACTTATTGTAATAAAGTAAATAATTTATCATAATCATCGTACCTACGATAGTTCTCCGAGGATAACATCAGCAGAGTAATTTAATTTTAAGATTTCAGGAACATCAGTGAAGGTTGAGATGGATGTACAAGAAGATAATTCAGACGTTGGATATTAATGTATGCCCTCCACTCGCTTGACAACATGAGATCCAAGGCTGTAATTCGTTGCAAAATAAGGTGACGTGTTGTGATTGGATGAAAAAACAAGGTCTTGCGCTGTGATTAGCTAAACAGATGAGGTCCTGCGCTGTGTTGGTTAAAAAAAAAGTTAAGTCTCGAGCTGTGATTGGCTGAAAAACTTAAATCGAAGGATGTGATTGGTTGAAAACAAATTAGATCGAGGGCTGTGACTGGTTGAAAAAAAAAGTTTACGCTAAATAATCACTTTATCTACAGTGTCTACAAGTGTAAATATAAATAATAAAAAAAAAAAAAAAAAAAAAAAAATATATATATATATATATATATATATATATATATATATATATATATATATATATATATATATATATATATATATATATATATATATATATATATATATATATATATATATAAACAGTATGGCGAGTCAAGTCCCACACTATAATTGTCACCATCATCTTGTTGCTGTCTTGGCCTCCCTTTACCTACATCAAGGGGAGACAAAAATCCTCTCTAATTCAGCCAATTCGTTTCACTATTGTGGTCAGGAAACGGCGCAAAATTCACAGAAAATTTTTGCGAAGGCCTGGGCGACATGGCTTGGTGGGTGTTGTGGTGAGAGCAGGTGGGGAGAGAGGGAAGGGGGAGGGAAAGGTAGGGAGGGACGGCAGCCCATCTGTCTCTCCTCCCTTTTGCGAAATGTTTCCACTGTGTTTTATGACAACTGGTGACCACAGCAGCGTAAAAAATCTTCAGGTAAATCCCGGGAAATGTTTTGAGGATCCTGACGGAGGCGGTGAACGGGGACTAGAGGTTGTGATGTGGATGAGTTATTTGTGTCGATATGTCGCAGAAGAAGTTGTGGAGATGTGCATGGAAGATGTCCTTAAACCATACAGGAAAGGTGTCCCATTACATATCGCAGAGGACGTCCCATAAAACGTGCATGAAATTAGGTGTTTTATTATACTTCATGAAGGATGTCCCATAAGACTATAATGTCCCATGTGAGGAGTGAGGGGTGAGAGACAGAGGGCATGCGTAGGAAATGTAAGAGGGGGCAGGAGGCATGCGTGGGGTGGGTGAGGAAGGTCGGCGTGGGATGAGTGAGGCAGGCAGAGGTTCACAGCAGCTCACCGTGACAGCATGACGCCTTCACTGGGAACATCACTCCTTATACTTCTCACTGGTAAGTCACTTGTCCACCTCTCTCATATACTGTCTCAGGTGCAGGAAGACAAACGGGTACAAGAAAGAGTACAAGTGCGGGAAGGAGTACTGGTGTGGGAATGAGTACAAATGGAGAAACGAGTACAAGTGCAGGAATGAGTACAGGTGCGGGAACGAGTACAGGTGCAAGAATGAGAACAGGTGCGAGACAGAGTACAGGTGCGGGAACGAGTACAGGTGCGGGAAAGAGTACAGGTGGAGGAACAAGTACAGGTGTGGGAACGAATACAGGTGCGGGAACGAATACAGGTGGATAAACGAGTACAAGTGCATGAACAACTACACTACAAGTACAGAAAAATAAACAGGTGCAATCACATGTAAACAATGACTAACAAACAGTGTACCCAATCACTGAACACTGTTACATCACATTAATAAACAAATAACGTTAGGGCTTCAAACACACCTGACTCAACAAGGTGAGTCGGACCTTTAATTAAAACGAAATACGTATGCAGATAAAGACAGCTGTAGTGTGTAATAATAATAATAAACGGTTTATTAATAGAGTTGCAGCCGGTGGCTGAAAATATACATTTGATTTAGACATAATGATATAATATGCATTGAATACATTTACAGGGCTGTACAGTACATAAATCAGGAGTTGTTTATTATTTTAACAATAGATGGGATGGTGCTGTTCTTATATCTATCGGTGCGGCCTCTATGGGCTGAATTTTGTTGTAGTGGCGGACTGCGCGAGTTGGGTGGGGGGCTGCAGGTGGCAGGAGGTGGCGATGGCGAGGGTGGTGCAGTAGTCCACGGCCAAACCTTTCCAGTGCTTGGTGGTGGAGGTCACTGAGGGATGGCATTTCCAGGGTGGAGAGAGCGTTGGTGTAGCCGGAGTATTCTGCGCCGAGCATGATTCTGCAGGCCCTTTTCTGTACCTTCTCTAGCTGACGTTGTTGGGTGGAGTTGAGAGAAGACGACCAGGCTGGTGACGCATACGTTAGTTTGGGGAGAATAAAGGCGTTGTAGATGGTCCTCAGCTCTGGCGTGTGTGTGTGTGTGTGTGTGTATTACGATTATATAACAAGAAGTGCACCAGTATTCATATTAATGACAAACATTAAATTCGTCATATTAATATTCTAAAGATATTTCTCGTGAAAATTACTACATTGTGTTGTGTGATGACGTGACGTGTTGTGTTGTGTTGCATGGTAAGAAAAGATGTTGTGAGGTGCTGTGTTATGCTATGTTGTGAGGCGTTTTGGTGTATTTTGAGGTGTTGTGTTACGTGGTGATAAGTTGTTTCGTGGTGATATGTTGTGAGGTATTGTGTTACGTTGCGTGGTATTGTGTTGCGTGGTGATAAGTTGTGTTGCGTTGTCATATGTTATGTTGTGAGGTATTGTGTTGCGTTACATGGTGTTGTATTGCACTATCGTTATTATAAGTTGCATCACTGTTACCTTTATATCTCTTCTAACTCGCCTTGTAGTACCAGCTGACAAGTTAAATAAATCACTTGTAATACCTGTATACTTATTTCATATTATTGGATCAACACACAAACACCCTTTTTTTTAACTTTATTATCAAATTATGTGGACAGTATGTTTATATAATGACGAATTAACTAACAATGGGTAACTATCCTATAACAAGAGAATATACAAGGTTATTAACTGAGTAATTAGAGTCTTTAACGTCATTGCTCATTTTCTCGTTAATTCAGGTAATGTAGGTTATATAATAGTACATGTAATTAGTCCACAGTTATATACTTGTTAGTGTCTATATATTTGGCAGAGACTAATGCATGCCGTAAGGAGACGCCGTTCTTTATAGCACAGAGTTATATACCCCGTAGTTTTCCATAGAGTGTATTAAATTACTAAGATTCCAGGTAAATAAATCATATCTCTGGTAAAGTGTAAGTTATGTTAAAATAGTTTTGATATGAACTCACAAAACCCTTAGCAACTCGTTTGGTGGAAATGTGGACAAAAACAAAATCCCTTAGGAGTAGGAAATACCATTGAGTCATATATTAAACAAAAGTGATTGACTGTACACGAGGAAAAAAGTGTGGTGAGTTTGACCAGCCAAGTGTGTACGTGCTGCCCTGATTAACAGTTATACCGGTACCGCCCCATGAAGGAATTGCCAGCACGCGTTTTATACTTCAACGCTTGACACAGTTATCCGAGGAGCTGGAGTAAAGTGGTAAAATAGACAACAAAAACCATGAATTTGTGATGGTATTTGATATACTGTATTGTCCTTCACGAAAGACTGAAAATAAAATTGGAAGGAGACTGACGACATGAGAATGTTTTGGCATGAATCGAAGACCTTTTTTTTTACGTCCTTAACAATGGTTGGTGGATACGAAATCCTTACGTGTACTAATGAAAAGCTCCGAGACACATGATGGCAAGTTGGTTTGGTCAGATGCTCCTTTGTTTCACATTCTGATTTGCCTAACGCTATATATTCTTCCGTACATACTATAGAAGGGCAAGAGGCGATTTAATAAAAGTTTATAATTATAAATAACCAAGACGACTTAACATAGCTACATCAAAAACAAGATTAAAATCACTATTGTTGCCTAAGAAGCGTGACCACCAAAACCACACACCTCAACTATCTCATTAAAGCAGAAACACGATACTGAATTCTACTAACCCTAAAGCAATATGTTTTAAACTAACTCACTAACTCCGTGTTGGTACGTGTCGTGTTTGTGGGCTGTTTTTATGTCTTGCTCATACAACAAGAGAGCCAGCAACGCACTAAACGTAGACGGGGTTCACAATCAATATTACACCATCAGAACTGACTGTTTTTTAAGGCTAGTTAGCGAATGTGTTTAACTTGGTGGTGACGACTAGAGAGGATAGTGAAGGCAAGGAGAATCACTTACCGCTATGGCTGCCCTGCACTTACGCAAGACAAAAAGAAATGACAGTCATCCTCCTCTTTACACTCCACACACCTCACCTGTCATGTTACAAGTCATCAAATTTTTGTCAACAAGCGGGCATGTATTCAATTATATTTTAGTTCACTTAGAATTAAACTCAGCAGACAAAAACCACAGTTTAACCTAACAGTAATGGGTGAGTTTTTGTCCGTGGACTGCTGAAACGCCCAAACGTTACCTGGGGTTATGTTATGTTAGGTTAGAGGTAGGTTAGGTTAGGTTAAGTTAGAGTTTGTTTAGGTTAAGTGAAATGAAGAAAAAATGATTAGTGACCTCATTTCTAAGAACCAATCAGGAAGAAGCTCCGCCCATTCACGATGACGTATACCCTAATTGGACTTCTTCGATTGACTGAAGGGGGAGACTAATTACTCTGTCATCCTTATCACCTACCCACGCCCACGGTCACAAATTACATATCAAAACAAAACAAAACAAAACAATGATAAAATA